AGAGACCAGAGCACATAATCTATTGATTTTGACAAAGGCGCTGAGGCAACTGAATGGAGAAAAGATGATTCTGGAATGCAGGGTATCCACACTTAAAACGTGAAAACATCAGCTCTTTCCATCACAGTAGCATGTGCACTCAAAGTAAATTCTAGATCAAAATGCAAGCGTGTGAAACCACAAAATTCCTGGGAGGAAACAGGAGAAAATTTTTTTTTTAATTTTGTTTTGATTGTCCTGGAACTTGGTATGTAGATCAGCCTGGTCTCAAACTCACAGAGAGCCCTGCCTCTGACTCCACAGTGCTGGGACCAAAGGTATGTACCACCATGCCTGGCTAGAGAAAGGTTTTATGGTCGTGAATTAGGCAAACATTTTTTTTTAAGATAAAATACCAAAAAAAAAAAAAACCATACTCCATAGACAAAAATAATTGTAAAGTTGGTTCACCAAAACCAAGAATTTCTGGCTTATGAAAGACGTTGTTAAATTAGTGAAGAGACAAGGTACAGACCAAGAGAAAATTTGTGAAGATATTGGATAAACCAAATAACCTGACAAATCAGCAAGCATAGATGGGAAGCTGTACAGCTGAAATATATAAGCAGATAGGCGGCTAAAGCCATGGCTCAGCTGCTCTTGAATGGGTCCCAAGTCTGGTTCCCATACAGATTGCATTTCACGGCAATCTGTAACTCCAGTTATGGGGGCTCTGACACCCTCTTCTGAGCTCTAAGGGCAACTACCCTCAAATGCACATACCCACACACAGATAAACATAATTGGAAAAAAAATCTTTAAGGGGTTGGAGAGATCTCTCAACAGATTAGCTGTATATACTGTGCTTGCAGAGAACCCAAGTTCAATTACAGTTTCCAGCACACATGTCAAGCAGATCACAACCACCTGTAACTTCATTTCCAGGGGATCCAATGCCCTTTTCAAGGCCTCTATGGGCACTAACACTCACATGCACAAACCTCACACATAACTAAAAATAATAACAACTATAAATCTTTGAATGACTAAAAATGTTTTATGGCATTATTTCAAGGGAATTAAAGTTTAAATCACAGTAAAATATCGGCTAGAATAGCTAAATTAAAAATTCTGATAATTAGCTGGATGGTGGGTGGCATATACCTTTAATTCCAGCAGACGCAGGTGGATCTTGTGAATTTAAGGTCAGCCTGGTCAACAGAGTGGGTTCCAGTGCAGCCAGGGTTACACAGAAAAACCCAGCCTCAAAAGACAAAAACAAACAAACGAAAAGTTCTGACTATTTCAAGTGCTGAGGAATGTGTGTGAGAACTGGGTTTCTCATACTGTGGTACACTGTATGACATATTCTGGCAACTTCAAATATATAGTATTTTAATTAATTCTTTGTGAACTTCATACATGCATATGATGTGCTTGGGTCATATTCACCCCACTCCTTCCAGATTCACCCCAGTCACATCCTTGGCAATTTCTTAAAGAGTTAAACATGTATAAAGCTACCAGGATGCATATGACATTGTGCGCTGTCCAGCCTCAGAGTACTGTTCACACAGACCCAGGGTAAATGGGGCTCATCACTGTAGACCGCTTTGTGCCCGTGCACCTGCATGAACATGTGTGTGTCCACACACATATACCATATGTGTGGACAGCACCTGCACACACATGTGTGTGTCCACACACATATACCATATATGCGCCCAGCACCTGCACACACATGCATGTGTCCACACACATATACCATATATGCGGACAGCCACCTGCACACACATGTGTGTGTCCACACACATATACCATATATGTACCCAGCCACCTGCACACACATATACCATATATGTACCCAGCCACCTGCACACACATATGTGTGTCCACACACATATACCATATATGTACCCAGCCACCTGCACACACATGTGTGTGTCCACACACATATACCATATATGTACCCAGCCACCTGCACACACATGCGTGTGTTCACACACATACACCATATATGCGGACAGGAACATCCACATAGGTTTTAAAAAATCTTACCTTAATTGAAGCTAGTGTGGAAAGGAATGGATTTCATCAAGGCATCCCCACACACTGGTGTGATTCTAACTCATCTCTTCTCTCCACCATGCTCCCTCCCACTCCCTCTTCTTCCGACTCCTCCAAAAGCTCCCCCATTCTGCTTTCATGTCAGATAGATTTCACCACCTTCCTTCTTTTTCTCCTCCTCCTCCCCTCTCATGATTCCCTTTCTAGTTTCACAACTTACAGGCGCACACACACGCATACACACACACACACACACACACACACACACACACACACACACACGCAATTTTAAATCTAAGTTTGCGTGTGAGGGAAAGCATGGTGTTTATCTTCCTGAGTCTGTCTCACTTCTTTTCACATAATGATTACTAGCATCTTTGATTGTCATGTAAATGCCACAATTTCTCTGTGGGTGAATAAAATATAATTTTATTGTCTACATGTATCACATTTTCTTGTATGAATATGCATATGTATAATATTTCCTTCACCCACCCATTCATCTTAAGATATTATTTAAAGACTTAGTGTGTGTGTGTGTGTGTGTGTGTGTGTATGTGTGTGTGTCTGCATGTGAGTGAGGATAGTACTTATAGGGACTAAGGTGTTGGATCCCCTGGAACTTGAGTAACAAGCAGTTGTGTGCCACCTGCCATGGGTGCTGGAAACCAAACTCAGTCTTCTGCAAGAGCAGAAGCCATCTCTTCAGCCCTCTACAGAGATATTTTTATATGAGTTCTTAAAAAACAGAAAGCAGAGCGAGGGGAGGGAAAAATTAAAAGAGAAAGAAAATATTCGGAATAAGAATATACTCGAATACTCAGAGTGTGGCTGTCTCTAGGTTGCAGGTTTGTAGGTAATATTTTTTCTTCCTTTTGCTCATTCATATTTCCTAAATGTTCATTATAAGATGTGCTTGTGGCAAGAGGAAACACATCCTTGTGCTGGCCTCTTCTCGCTGGCACACGCTGACAGACAGCAGCTGATGTGGCAGGTTCCGGCTCCCTGAGAGCTTGCCCAGCAGAGGAAGGCAGGAACTTGCCAGCCCAACACTTAGTGAGATGTGCTGCTTGCCTTCATTTGACTTCTCTGGGAACCTGGGGACTACTCAGGGATGGTGGAGCCAAACTCGAGTCCAAGTGTTTATTATTACGGTTCTGCTAGGATAAGAAGGGCTGGACCGTTTCCCACAGTCATGAACACTGATAATTCTCTGTATCAATAATTTATCTTGCCAGGAACAGACAATACAGCAAAGGCATTTATACGGCTATGAACACAAACAACATTTAGTCTCTTTCAAAACTTACTGAACTTTTTGTGATTAAAAAAATGCATTGTCATAAATTCGGAATCTACAGGAAAGTCTTAAATCAGTATAAAATCACTCTGTTACCAAATTCCTATATAATTCATTTTATGTATGTGTGTGTGTTATTAGAGGGGTTCTGGGATCTGAACTTAGGTTCATGATTGAGCACCAAGCACTCTTAAGTGCTATGGCATCTCTCCAGCTCCTGTACATAATTTATAACAAACATTTTACATTATTTCTCACCATAATTTTTCTTTTTAATCTAGCTAGAGTCACATGATCTTTAGGCCCTGCCCCAACTCCATAGCTGTGATGGCTAATCTGGGTTGTCAACTTAACACACCTGGGAAGAGGGACCTGGACTGAAGAATTGCCTTCAGCAGAGTGACCTGTAGACATGTGGATGGGGACATTTTCTTTATTGACAATTGATATAGTTGGGCCCAGCCTACTGTAGGTGGTACCACTTATGAGCAGATGGGCCTGGGCTATCTAAGAACAGAGCTGAGCAAGCCAAGGGGGCAACCCAATAAACAGTCCCTCCACGGTTTCTGCTGGAGTTCCTGCCACCAAGGTCCTTCCTTGAGTTTCTCCCTTGACGGTGAACTACGATTTGTTAAGCCAAGTCAACCCTCCCCTCCTCCAAGTTGCTGTTGGCCAGTGTTTTACTACAGCA